TAGGAGAGCTCTATGACGCTCTTCTACTTCTTTTAGCTAGAATATGGACTTATTGAGATTAGTTAAGGGATAAAATATAGGTAAGTTCACCCTTTTAGCAGCAACAGTCAAAGTCCTGTTGTCTTCTGCTGCCCTCTTATGTGCTTCAGCTGCTTGTTCATCGAGCAGCATCAGTTCGGCAATCTGATCAAATTCGCTTCAAGGAACTGTGAAAAATACGATTCTGTTACCTTATCCTTTAATGAATTAGCTCGCTCGAAGAAGTTTGCATCCTCTGCTTCGTTTAGACCAATTCTAAAGTCCCAATTTCAAAAAAGGGATTCCCTTGAGCTTTGTGCACTTTTCAGATAAGAAAGCTGTTGCAAACTGGGGTTTTCTTTTCAAAAAGTGGTGATGTTGTTAATAGCTGGCTACTGGTTTAATCTAACACTATTCTATCGGTGTAGTGACCAAAGCCTTTGCGTTCTCTGCCCTTAGAGTAGAAAGTTGACATAACAAGACCAAAAATTTTTCCTTGATAAAACCGAAATTGATAGTATAACGTTTAACTGGCGGCTTACTTGACTGGGTCATTGACCGCTATCCTTGCCAGCTCAACAATCTCGTTGTCGTCCTTTTTAGCCAAGTATTCATCCCATAACTTACAGAGGTAATGGATGCGTTTGTCAATCTGTGAAAATTACGTATCTCATCGTTCATATCCATGCCTTTTTTCCATTATAAGTCTATTTTTACTATGACGTTCCCATTTGTGTTGAAAAAAAGTGTCTGGTTTTTCAGTGAAATATACGAAGTAATTTGGCAAAGAGAAGGGAGGATGTTAAAAAGATTTCTTTTAGTTTATCGTATCACTGAGAGGTTCTACATTCTACATCTATCCGCTATTGAGAGTCGTTGTTTTATGCCGATACTTCAATTCTTTCATGCTTTGTTCTTGCTACATTTGAGAACTTACCATATTTACTAAACCTTGGGCTCGTTCCTTACTTGATGCTATTTTCTTGCGCAACACTGCAACCTAAAGCAGTAGTTGTTATTTTGTATAAAAATTCGCTTTTGAGAGCAACCTATTTTGACATGCAACATTTGCATTATGACAAATACGTCAACAAACTTTAAAAATCTTTCTTGCACCTTCCTAAAAGTAGTGAAGTTATTTAAAAAAGGATTGAGGTAAGTTCAATAAAGACTGGTTCTAACATAGCGGCTGTTTTAATATCTTGTCACCAGCAATTCAAATAAGGTAAAATCTTGCCACTGTTTGGTGATAGGGACATTCGTTTATGCAGAGGCGGAACAACTACGCTTCAACCTTCCAT